GAGGGTGTGCCCTCTGGTTCCTCAGTACTTTATGGGGGTTCAATAGTGAGCACAATAGTCACCTTGGCAGGTAGGAATTCTACAGATGGCCATCCTGCCCTGGGGACCAGTGTTACAAAGATATCCAATAGCCTGAATGCTATTGGCCAGTGAGGTCTAAAGATCTTTTATTGAGGTGAAGCTGACATTATCCCCCAGGTCTTAGCATCACTAGGAAAGGTGGGAGGAAGCCACGCACCAGAGGATATTTATAGTCCAGGGTAATAGCCTCTCGGGGTCGGAGGAGTCACATACCTGCTGGTGTTCATTAGCTGAACGGCCACGCTGCATCTGTGGTCTTGGGAGAGAGGCCAGTTCTGGGGCGACGCTAGCATTACTGAAGGAAGGGGGAGGAATGGGTTTGCAACTGTGGGATGAGAGGAAGGCAGGCAACACCACTTCATATACTGAGCTCTGTGTGCAGCAGGCCCGCAGGGGCACTCTTCACCTTCCACACTGCTGAGCTCCCACTCCGCCCTGGCTGCACTGCCACCTGCCATTGCTGAGGCCGAGCACGCCAGAGACCACTCCATCTCCCCTTCAGCTAGAATGGCCGAATGACCCTCACCCCCGTCTTGCCAAAGGCACCCAGGAAGAAGACTGCTGGGGCTTCTGGGAAGGGCTTCCACCCAATGCAAAGGTGACAAGTGGGAGGGAGTATTCCCTTCTTTCCTCTGCTACTGCAAAAATAACAAGTCTGCTTTAAAGGAAATATTTTGTTCAAAGTTAAATATATAAGGGACCACAGCTCAAGATCTTGGATTCAATTTACCCTGATTGATGTGCTCCAAAGTAGCAGAGATTATGTAAATTTCATAGCTAAAGAACAAAGAAGTCACAAATCAATACATTCAAAATATACATTGGTAGAGGCATTAGGTAGGGGGACCACCGCAAAGCAGGGAAATGTTTTCTATAAGTTTCAGACGTTATCTTGCAAGAATGTTAGCTTTAGTTTGGGTGGAGGCTCAGCTTAACAATATTCTCAGAGGCTTACCCAGCAGTAATAATAATTTATATAAAGGTTAAAAGTACAGGGCTGGGGATTTAGCTCAGCGGCACAGCACCTGCCTGGCAAGTGCAAAGTTGTGAGTTCGATTCCTGGTACCAGAAAAAAAAAAAAACAACCAAATAAATAAATAAATAAATAAAAGTAAATGGCTACTGGCTGGGTGTGGTGGTGCACACCAATAATCCCAGCACTTGGGAGGCTGAGACAGGAGGATTGCCTTGAGTTTGAGGCCAACCTAGGCTACACAGTGAGTTCAAGACCAGCCTGAACTATATAACAAGATCTTGTCTCTCTCTCTCACACACACACACAAAAGGAAATGACTGTTTTTCTAAAGGGTCTGCACTAACCTGAGATAACTTTGGCTCTAGATAAATAATACTCTGTCCACAATTTGGAATGGGACATACAATGTTCTACTCAGCCTATACCAAACAGTCTATAGAATTTTTACTAAATAGTAGTGTGATTTCTTTGGAGAACTTCAGCTCCACACAAGGGATATTGCTAAGTCTACCTGGAAACTTGGTAGTCACCTTGTGAACATGAGTCTAACATTTAAAGTCAAAAGATCCTGTTCTTGGCAGGACAGAAATGTGGAAAGAGACTGAGCCTTTAATAAACACTGTGAGCTAGTGAACCATCGTAGGAACTGCCCTACCCTGGAAATTCTACCAGTATTAAAGAATAAATCCTTTTTAGTTGAGTTTTCTATCACCGGTAGCATTCTGTATCTAATTCTCATGAAAAAGCCTATGATGATTGAGCTGGGCATTGTGGTGCATGCCTATAATCCCAGCACTCAGGAGGAGGCTGATGCAAGAGGATTGCTCAAGTTTGAAGTCCACCTGGACTACATAGTAAGTTCAAGTCCAGCCTGAAATACACACTGAGACCCTGTCTCAAAAAACAAACAACCCCCCCCAAAAATGATTGTCATATTGTCCCTACTTTACAGATGAGGAAACTATAAACTCAAAAGATCACCTGGCACCAAAGCTTGTGTTCTGTCTGCCACACACCAACCTAACTGTATTCGTCATTGAGAGTTGGAGCCTATTTATTAAAACTATCAACCTCGCCTGATTGTAGAAAGGCTGATGATCAGTGAGGTACTTTGTGAACTAGTGCGGTGAAGATGTGAGATGCTGGGTTTATAATCCCTGCCAGATGGGCTCCTGCTTATTCTGCAGATCACCTGGGGAGTACCATGCATTACACCCGGGGTGTAAGCCAGCATAGTCACAGCAGATATTCTTGGGCTAAGTCCCAACATTGGTGTTTTCACCAAGCTTCTGTGTGATATCCGTGTGTCACCACCACAGCTGAGTTCCACTGTTAGGCTCAGATCATTATAGAATGGCTTGTAAGCAGAAGTAGTTTGAAATGATTTAATTTAGCATAGAAAAAGATCATGATCTCTTCATGCTAGAAGGGACTGGCAGAGGAGAGTTGCTCATATCATGGCAGTCAGCAAGCAGAGCAAGAAGAGAGGAGCTAGGGAGAGAGAGAGAGAGACCCTTCCAGATTGTGCCACCCATGAACCACACTTCCCAACTGGGCCCTGCCTCCTAACAGCACATTCAGTTATGGATTCATCAGTGGATTGATCCACTGCAGAGTACAGCACCCCCGTGATTCAGTCACCTTCACAGCTCTACCTCTGAACACGTGAAGCTCATACCTGGGGCATGAACTGCCCTAGGGAGGTTGGGTACATTGTTTAGGTCCTACAGTATGTGAGAATGAAAACCAAGCCAGGACTCTTGGTCTCCCTCTCAAGGCTCTGCCTGGAAGTCTAGCTGTAAACCGTAACACCCCTCATGGCTCATTTCAAGCTACCGATGTGAGGTAAGCTGTCTGACAAAACTATGAGAATGTAGCAGTCAGCTCTTGTAAGCCAGTATAAACTGGATTAAGTCCCCAACTGGTAAGGTAGGAGTTACAGACCAAGCAATTTTAGTGCACAGGCGGCAATTTAAATGACTCAGGTAGACCAGGTGTGAGACGCTTAGAAGTGGTGAGGACTGTGGCAAGTGGGTGAGCAAATGCCCATCTAATGACTTGCAAACTCAGATACCTAGGAAAATGATGCCTGGAGTGGAAAACTGTTGATGATGGAATTCAGCCTCCATATTTCCCAATGTAGGCAGTCAATAAACAATCCTGTTTATTTTTTATCCTGTCGTGTATGTGGCTCTTGACTCTCTCCAGAAATTGTGGCTATTCCTCTGACTCTGGCAGCATACAGAGGTCCCTCTACCCTGGAGCAGGGGCAGGAGCATCTGGACACTTGGTTACAGATACTCTGGTTCATTGTGACCACTTGTCTTTAGAAGGGACAAGTTGGAGACTGAACTAGTGATGAACGAGTCACCATCCTGAAGCCCCTGTACGGTCTGGGTTTCGAATGTTCCCCAAAGGCCTGTGTTCCAAAGGCTTTGTCCCCACCCTGTGGTATTGACAGAATGTGGGGGAACATTCAGCAAGTGATGTCTGGTGGGATGGTTAGGTCATTGGGTGTGGCCTTGAAGAGGATTATGGGACCTGGTCTCTACCAGGTGCTCCTGCCATGACATGTTACCTTACTACAGACCCAAAATCAGTGAGGCCAGCTAATTATGAACTAAAACTTCCAAAGCTATAAGCCAGAGTAAACCTTTTCTCTTTATAAACTGATTATCTCAGGTATTTCATTACAGTGAAAGAAAGCTGACTAATACAACACCTTAACCCACCTCATCCCTGGTGCCACAGTGAGTCTGTGCAAAGATCCCTTGAAAATTCCTGCCTTTGGGTAGACATGGAAACAGATGATGTTACTAAGTCTTCCTATGATTCACAGACATAGATTTCTGGACAAAATCTGTGAGTATGTCTTACCAAATCTTCTGGCTTGAAAAGCAAGCCAGGCAAATGATAGTTGAATGCATAAATTAAAATTCTATTTCATATAGTCAAAAGCAAGCAATATTTTAATCCTCATGAGAACCCTGTGATTGATAATCTTATTGTCCCCATTTTACAGATGGTGTAACATTAACAGCTTAATAACATCACTTATTCACTGCAGGCAGATCAGGACTGCAATCTCCCAAATGAGAGTATGGCAAAGGCTACATAAAAAGAGGCAAATGGAATGACTTCAGGGCTCCAGGAGGATCAAAGCCCTCCACAGAATTCAAGATTCTCTCAGGGCTCAGACCAAGGCCTTCTCTGGGTGGCCCATATTTATTTGGTTATCAGAAGGGAGGGGATACTCAAGGACTTCTCCAGGTAAGGTATTAAATTAATCCTTAATAAGTACTAAGTTAATCTACCCAGGAGTGAGATGCCTGAGACTATAGTCTTTATCTAGTTGAGATGGGATCCAGGTGTGATCTTCTCTTATCCTTTGAGGCTTTCTGGCTTCATCCACCACTACAGGTTTTAGTAGGGATTAGTGTCTCACAGAGGTTCACTTCTGATGAGTCCACCATTTCCAGACAAGGAGGCTAGGTCTTGGACATATTCACAAGTGAACATGAAAAGCCAATTGGTTAATTTAAATTCTTCTCAGGTCTGCTTCATAATGTATCATTCTCAGATATTTCAGACGGCACCTCTGCCTGACTCCCCCTCCCCTTAACCCACTCCAGTGTATCCCTCATCAATCTGCACCAGTCTTCTCCAGACATTGAGATTTCAGCTCACTTTTCCCTTAGCTCTTAGCCTGAGCCCACCTCTGGGTCTCAGTCACCATCATCTCTGTGTTCTTGGCCCTTGTGACCCAGAGAGATCACTTGCAATAAGTATAATTTATCCCACAATTCCTAAGAATTCCTGCTTGCCTTCCCTCCTTGGCACAACCTTACAGATGTTAAGCCTCCTTAGTCTTCCTAATAGCCCTAGTGAGGAGCTATTTATAAATCTTATTGGCTACAAAATCACAGATTCATGGGTTCACAGGTGTTTTATTGCCCGGATGGGAAAATCATGCTTGAAAACCAGGTTTCAGCTGTGGAAGCAAGCAGGCATACTGGACTCCACCAACCACCTTTTATGAAGCAGGATAGGAGAGGTTTTCCAGTGAGGGAAAAATCACAAGCAATGTCAACAGTCATCTATCCTAATTTATAAACTACTTGAGGCCAGGACCTTCTGTCTCCTGTATCTCTGTAAGTCCTGCATCTGACATTCAAAAATACCTGAGGCCTGAGATGTCCTATGCAGGTTGGATGCATTGTCCAGGCCCCATAGCAGGCAGGAGTGAAGATGAAGCCAGGGCTTCTGCCTGGCTTCCTGCTCAGGGCTCTGCCTGTGATGCTGGGTCTCACCTCTGCTTAAACAGGTGCTTGGCTGGACAGGATGGAAAACTGCAAGATATAGGTGATTTTAAAGAAGAGTCTTACCCATGCAAAGCTCTAAATGCTAGATTTCCTGGCAAGGCAATCAAGTTGGTGAGTCTTAGACAGTAATCCTAAATGAATGACTGATTTGCAGTAGGCATCTTTATTCATTTAATAAGCATTGATCTGACTCGATTTTCATTGTGGGGTGAGATTTGCAGAGACTCTGTCATGATTTTTATCAAAGTACCTATGGGAGGTCTGTGAGAAGTATAAGGGTTGAGCCACACTGTGCCCTCGAAGGCTTCAAGAGCCTCAGCGAGCCATGGCCTGCCCCCCATACCATTGCAGGAGTGATGCCGAGCACCGGAGAAACTTTTTGTGAGCTGCCCAGGAGGGGAGAACCTGCACTCTGCCCCACCCCCACAATCACAGAAGGGATGCAGAGTGCCTGGGAAACTCGGGAGCTTCAGTGAGCTACCTGGGAGGGAAGCAGCTCTGCACCCAACTCCCCCACTATCAGGGAAGCGACACTGAGCCCTGCAGAACCTCAGGATCTTCGAAAATGAAAAACAAAGGAGCAAAATGCAATCTCAAAACTCCACCCAACCCAGAACTCCAGGATACATTGACATAGAAGAGCTTGGAAGTCATGCAGCTGTAATTTCTGAAATGATAGCAACTGAAGTAAAGAAACAACTGATCAGGCTATAGAAGACATCAGATCAGAAATAATCTCTCAACAACAATAACGATAACAATAATGAAAGAATTACTCAGCACATCTAAAGAAGACATAGATAAAAAAATAGAGGAGCACAGAAAAATTATGGAAACCTTGAATGAATCATATAAGAAAGAATTAGAATGCATGAAACAGATTCAAACAGATATCCAGGAAATTAAAAATTCCAATGAAAGCTAGCAAAATCACTTGAACGAAATTGAAGATAGACTTTCAGATCTTGAAGATAGCATTGCAGCTACGATTGCAGAAGGAAAGGTCTCTTTAAAATAACAAGGAACCAGGAAATAATTCAATAGCTGCAAGATGATGCAAACAAAAGCAATATAAAACTAATAGGTGTCAATGAAACAGCAGGCGTCAACACAAATGACATAAAAAGACTATTTGCAGAAGTAATAGCAGAAAATTTTCCCAGGCATGGGAGAACAACCCAACATATGGATGAGACATATACAACTACAATTAGCCATAACCAAAATAAATCTATACCCAGACATACAATAGTCAAGATTCCAGAAATTCAGCAAAAAAATGGAATATTAAAAGCTGTTAGAGAAAAGAAATAGATCACCTATAATGGAGAGCCCATCACTACAGAAAAAAAGCAGGGGTAGTTATTCTGGTTGCAGAAAATGGGAACTCAAGAATGATCAAAAGAGATAAAGAAGGGCACTACATACTTGTTAGGGGAAAACTGCAAGAGGAAGAGATAACAATCATAAATATCTATGCACCAAATACAGGAGCTCCCAACTATATAAGACAGATTTTAACAGACAAGAAAAATCAAATAAGTAGTAACACAATCATAACAGAGGACATTAACACCCCATTGTCACAAAGACATAGATAAACTAGACAAAATAATCAGCAAAGAAATGACAACTGAACCAAGCTTGTGAACAAATGGACTTAATAGACCTGTATAGAGTGTTCCACCCAATGATATCAGAATACACATTCTTCTCAGCTGCACATGGAGTGTTCTCTAAACTAGACCATATTTTAGCCCATAGAACATGCTTAAGCAAATGCAAAGGAGTTGAAATTCTCCCATGCATACTACCAGACCATTGTGCAATGATTGGAAATTATTGTAAAAGAAATCACAAAAACATCAGAAACACATGGAAATTAAATAACATCCTCCTGAACAACCAATGGGTCACGCATGAAATTAAAGAAGAAATGAGACAATATTCACAATCAAACAAAAATGCAGATACAACTTACTGGAACCTGTGGGGCTCAATGAAAGCAGTCCCCAGAGAGAAATTTAGAGCAATGAATTCTCACATCAGGTAAACAGAACAAGTACTAATAAACAGGCTTATGCTGCACCTCAAGCTTGTAGAAAGAGAGGAGCAAGTGAAGCCCAAAGCCCAAAGAAGGCAGGAAATTATAAAGATCAGAGCAGAAATTAACACAATGGAGACTAAGAAAACAATACAAAGAATTAACGAATGAAAGAGTTGCTTCTTTGAAAACATAAATAAAATGGATAAGCCCCAAGCCATCCTTATTAATAAAAAAGGAAAGAAAACACTCAAATTCATGCAATGAGAAATGAAAATGATGAAATCACTAAAGATACAGTAAAAATTCAGAAGATCATCAATGCCTAGCTCAAAACTTTTTACTTTCATAGGATGAAAAACACAGAGGAAATGGAAAGATTCCTAGGTGCATATGAATTATAAAAGCTGAACCAAGAAGATATACAAATCCTGAATAACTCAATATCAGCAAATGAAATACAAAATGTTGTAAAAAACTTACCAACAAAGAAAAGCCCAGGTCCTCATGGATTCACAACTGAATTCTACAAGAAATTTAGAGAAGATACCATGTGAATTCTTTTCAAACTCTTTAATGAAATTGAAAGCAATTCTCCCAAATTCATTCTTAGAGGCAAGTATCACCCTGATACCAAAACCAGGGAGAGAAAAAAGAAAGAAGGAAAAGAAAATATATATATACACACAAGATAGCTAATATAATTGTACTACTAATTTTTTTTGGTTTATTGAAAGGAACAGTTAATGTGTAATTGTTTGATCAACCTTACATGCTATATCTGGTTATCTGAGCAACCACTTTGAAGATAACCTTATGTAATATAACAACCATTGTTAATTTCCTATTACCTTGCTTTGAAATTTTGTATGACTCAGGTTTCACAGGGTAAAAACCCTTATAGAAACAATAACATTAACAATGATGAAAATATGTATGGTGAGCTGAGCTCACTGAGTAACTTTCTACCTGCAATAACATTTGAATAGTTCTGTCCAGTGAGACAGTTTGGAAATCACCTTTGTCACTCTTAAATGATGGAAATGAAAAGCTTAGGTGGGCTTCTCCTCTTTCTCTTCCCTTGCTGCTGTTTGTCCCAGTTGGTGTAGCTATGAAGTCTGTGTGGGGGCCCTCTGAGAGTCCGATGAAGCACAGTCCTCTCCACCCCTCACCCTGTCCATAGCCTGAATGAAGACATAGCTTGAATAAGAAAGTAAGTCCAGTGACACTATGGGAGGCTGAGGCAGGAGGACCACAAATTCAAATTCAGTCTGGGCAACTTGGAAACTTAGTAAGACACTGTCTCAAAATAAATGATAAAGAAGGGGCTGAGGAACATATCTCAGATTCAAGTCTCAGCACAAAAATAAGTTCATAGAGTAAAGCCAGTGGGGTTTGGGGGCTTACATGTTATGTTACTACATCATACCCAGCCTATCCTGCCTAAGGCATTAGTTCATACATGCTGAGCTCTTGCTGCGAGCCAGGATCTTTGCATATATTATCTCACTTGCTCTTCACAGTATCATGTAAGGTAGATTTGATTATTATTCTCACTTGGCAGATGAGGGAACTGAGACAAAAAGGATGAATGTGGTTTTGGCCAAAACCACAGTCAGTAACTGACAGATTTTAAAATTTGAATCGAGGCGGTTGACCCCAGAGCCCATGCTTCTAATCACTGCACTATACTTTTAAGAAAGATTCCACTTTGTGGATTAACGTTTTTCAGTCATAAAGATAAAATACAAAATCCATTAAGAAGTCTCTCCCCATGGTTATCACAAGAACATCTTGGAGATAAAACCAATTTGAAGAGATGCTGCCCTGACCTGCTTCTCTTTGTCTCCTAATCATGCTAATTGAATGATACTGCAGGCAAGTCTGCGCTATGGAGCCCGTCTGCCATTATGTCAATGGATTTTAAAATGTATGGATCTCTTTGCTTCAGACCTGAGGCCATATTGATTCTGGAATATGCACCACTAATTGCAGAGAGCCTGATGTGAAGAAGAAAGTAAAAGAAAGAAAAGCTTCCGTGTCAATATTTGTTACTAACCTTGACAAATAAACATTTGAAGCGATGGTGACTTTTTCCTCTTTTAAAGCTTTAATTACTGGCTTGCACACACTGCAATCATTTTGTTCTTGTTGGTATTTAATAGTCTGTAATCCATTTTAATTACATTCTTTGCTTATCAAGATTAGATTCCTAAACAAGGACAGAACAAAATTTAACTTCTGCCGTTTCCCCCCTGCTCTTTACTCAGAGCCTGAAAAACATTCCAGGATTTGAAAACATTTTAAGGATAAAACTTATTTTCTAGGCTGAAAGCAAGCAAACAAAACCATTAAAGTGAGCTTTCTTTCTCCTTTTCCTAATTTGCTGGCTACACCTGCTTCCTGCATTAATAAAACTTATCAAGAATGCTGAGAGGATGCAGATGGGAGTGGGACTTTCACGATGAGGAAAATGTTCCCTTTCTTTGACTTGAGTACTGAGTACAGAGATGTTTTGTCATTGACTGTGTACATTTATATTCTGTGCCCCTTTCCATATATGCATTACATTTCCATGAAAATGTTATTTGAAACACTCAACATGTCCAGGCTTTCAGAATTTCTCTGTGCCTTTCTTAAGTGCAGTCGCCTCAGGGCAGCCACTTATGACTAATATGTTCATTTTTCAGACATGGACTTAGAAAGGTAGAGATCATCAGGATCTATGCCTTCAATGCAGAAAGATGCTGCCGCTTACCCAATAGCCCAGTGGGAGGGCTCCTGGTCAGGAAGACTGTCAGAGCGGTGGCTCAGGGTCAAGTCTCCATCTGCAGAGCACATCTGGCAATGTCTCAGCCAACTCACAGGGAGCTTGGAAGCAAACAGAGTCCACTGCAGGAGACTCGTGCCAGCAGAGATGCTGGCTCAGGCCCCTGGCATGCTTGGCACTGGCTGTGGGATGCCCTGGAGGAGCTCTAAACCTAATTGCAGTCCTTGCCACTGAATTCTCAGTATTCTTAAAAGGTGCTAAGAGTGGCAACCTTCATGGTTGTCGCGAACATATAATAGGAAAGGGATCACTCTTGTCTTCATTTTGGTGGCCAGTAAGCTCAGCCAATCGTAGAGGCCAGCTTTGAACTGGACCCTGGAAACAGGTTGGTCTGTCTTCCCATGGGTGCTGAGCTGCCTTTCTTGTCCCTTGATATTTACCTCATTGTCTCAATGTTGTTGTGGGATCATTAAATTTTATTCCCCAGCACCATTCTTGTTTTTATTCTTTTCTTATAAAAGATCCATTTTTGTATGGATATCCAAACCTCCCCAGTATTTAGTCCAGGTAGTTAGTTAGGCTGGATCTCCCCATTTCCATGGCTGAAGCTCCACAGTTAGTCCTACCATCTAACTAAAGATTTCAGAATTGGGCACTTGACCCAACTGGAGACTTTTGTTAGGCATGCTAAATTATGGGAGGGTGAACTGAGAGGATGCAGGGCTCGAAGTATGCAGCCATTTTGCCACCATGAAGGAGGTAACCTGGAGCAGTTAGGATCACTGTGACAAGGAAACAGGGGAGAAGTCAGAATCCTAAGTGATGGAAAGAAACCAAGCCTCCATATGGATGCCTGAGTCCAAAATCTATGTCTGAACCTAACCCTGCACTCTTGAGTTACATTTGTCGTGACTTCCCACTTTATCAAGGCAGTTTGACTTGCTTTCAGCCCCTTTCAACTGAATTTGTCCCAACTAAAATCCAACCGTCAGTTCCCTCAATTTGGAGATATTTATTTTCCTTTTATTTACCAAATTCTCTAGAGCTAACCATCAAACCAGTCCCAGATGGTTAACATCAGCCAAGTGCTTTAAAAATAAAAAGCAGTATTTTTGTTTTAATTAAATCCACACAGTAAGGTTCTTTCTCCCTACAACCCCTACCTCAACTCCAACACACACACACACACACACACACACACACACACACACACACACATACACACACACACACACACACAGCATTTCAGAACTTCCACTTACATTTTAACTGAGAACTCCACTGGGGAAAAAAACCCTGAGGGCCAAAACTATTTTTAACACAGTTTCCCAGGTAGGCTGACTGCATCTGGGTGGGGACTTGGAGCATCTCATGTTCCCAGAGCCCCACACAGAGCCAGGCAGGAAGAGGTGGTTCTGTCAAACTGAGACCTGACGATGCCCAGCTGGCATCCGCAGCCAGAAGGTAGAAAGGCAGACATCTTCCCACACCCTGTCTGGCCGTATGTGACTCATCAGGTTCATCACAGAGAAGGTGACCCAGGGCCTCTGTGGAGGTAAGTCAAGGATAAGACTGAGCAACCCAAGGCCACCTGGCAGGGACCACCAGCCTCTACAGCCATGAGTTCCACCTGTTATTTGCTACACCTTTTCTCTTTCTTGCTCTTTTCTCCTCCTCTTCCTCCTCCTCCAGTTCTTTTTCCTTCCCAAATGCCCTACTCTTCCCCTGTGACTCTGCTGCAAATATGGGGTATCCCTATAGGTCTTGTGTACCCTAGTAATGGTCCTCAGAGTTGTGCTAGTGTTGTCCCACAAATCAGGACCCATGACACAGCAGTTCCAGGGGGATATTAAGGAAGGACCCTTTCAATCTGGAAAACAAAGGTTAAAAATGTGATATGCATGAAAGCATGATGGGTCACAGAGACATATTGCTCCTAAACTTAATACTTTAAAACAACAGTCATTGTTATTATTTCTTATTTTGGTGGTAGCACAGGATGGGAGAATCAGGAATCTGGACTGGACACAATGAGATAACTTGTCCCTAATTTATGATGTTTGTGGCTTCACCAGGAAGACCTCAAAGATGGCAGCTGCTTTCATCTGAAGGCTTCTTCTCTTACCAGCCTGCAGGTAAGTGCTGGCTATGGCAGAAATCTGAGCTGGGGCAACCGGTTTCTTCAGGTGGCCTGGGCTTCCTCACTGCAGAGCAGCTGGCTTGACAGGGGAAGGTCCGCTAAAGGTCGGCACATCTGAAACCAGGTTCAGCGTGAGCACAGTCCTAAGAGCCATAAGAACCTGGATGAGAATTCAGGTTCCAAGTCTTTGGGAGTTTCACTCATTCAACTTCTCTTGGTTACAGTTTCCTCACCTGTCAAACAGGTGATAAGCATAATGCTTCTTTTTGTAATGAATATTAAAGGAATTATGGATATTAAAACACTTCTGAAATAGCAAAGTACTACATAAACGTTTGCTATTATTATTAATTTTAAATAATAAAGAATAAACAATAGTTAAATAGGAGGAAAAATATTATTGTGATTATTTTCAGGTTTCCTATTTATCTGCCTATTAAACTCTGTATTTGTTCTCTTCCTTCCTAAGAAGTATTTCATGTTAGGAGAGAAGCCACATTAATTCTCTAATAAGGAATGGAAAGAGATGCTGGGGAGAGACAAAGATCCCTATGAGAGCATTGGAGGCATGCAGGGATACAAGTGTATGATATTGTGACTGATTATAATTGGACTGTATCTTTGATGTTCTCTGACAGATGCAAACATAGAATTTTAGCTACATTTTAACTACCTTTATATATTGGACTATGAATGTAACATCGTTCTTAACCCCTTGGAATTGCCGTGTCATGGGTCCTGATTTGTGGGACAGAACTAGCACAACTCTGAGGACCATTACTAGGGTACACAAGGCCTATAGGGTTGGGCCATGTTGGGCTCCAAATGTATAGAAAAAAAAAAAAAGTAATAATAATAGAAGAGTAATTGGGAAATTCTGCCTCCCAGCCTGGAATTCAAGGTCACATCTACACTGAGCTGAGATAACTTGCCCAGAAACAAGTGGCAGTCACTGTGAGTTTGGCAGGATGAAGTGGTGGGACCAATGACCTTGAACAGCTGAGGAGAAATAGTCAGTCTCCTTCTTCACCCACAACTTCCTTGGTCCACGGGAACTCTTAGTGTGGAGTTGAAATAAACGCAATTTAAATTTTAAATAAATAAATAAATGGTACGGCAATGATGGGGAATTTTGAAAGGAAAATAAAACAATTTTACTGCTTTGTTGTCCTTTTTGAACTGTCACACAGCTTAGGATGGCCTATTTAACTAACCTATTGCTGCTGCCATGAATAAAATTTGGACAAGCCTCCTCATGGCTGGACTGAAGATGAAGGTCTGGATATCTCTAGACCAAATGAGAAGATTTTTAAAAAATTATTTATTTTTTTATTTGAAAGAGAAAAGAACAAAAACAAAATAACAATAACAAAGAGAAAAACAAAACAACACAAAAACTATAAAAATGATACAGAATTTAAAAACAGGATGATAGGAAATCAAGAATGGCTGTTGTATTACTTATTATTATTTTCAAAGTAGTTGCTCAGATTACCAGATATAGGTATGCAAGATTGATCAAAGAGTTAAACATTAACTGTTCCTTTCAATAACCAATAGAAATTAGTACACAATTATCTTAGCTATCTTGTGTGTATGTGTGTGTGTGTATATATATATATATATATGTATATGTGTATATATATATATATATACACACACACATAGATGCAAAAATCCTCAATAAGATACTAGCTAACAGAATCCAACAAATCATCAAGAAGATTATACAATATGACCAAGTGGAGTTTATCCCAGGAATGCAAGGATGGTTCAATGTATGCAAATCAATAAATGTAATACACCATATCAACAGAGCCAGAGACAAAAATCACATGATCATCTCAATAGATGCACAAAAGACTTTTTATTTATGTATTTATTTTAAAGAGAAAAAAATAACAACAATGCAGACAAAAACAAAACAATACAGAAACAATAAAAATGATACAGAATTTCAAAACAAGATGATAGGAATTAACAATGGTTGTTATATTACATATTGTTATCTTCAACAAAGTTGCTCAGATTACCCGATGTAAGAATGCAAGATTGATCAAACAATTAAAGACAATAACAAATTAAAAAAACATTAGAAATGAAAGACAGCTTCATTAAACAAGATGGTAGGAATTTAGCAGTGCTTGTTATATTGCATATTGTCTTCAAATTAGTTGTTCCAATGATCAGATATAAGCATGCAAAATTGGTCAAGAAAAAAAATTAAGCATTACTGTTGCTTTCAACAAACAAACAGATATCAGCAATACACTTATCCCAGCTATCCTTGTATATACATATGTGTTTTTTTTTTTAGTTTTACACAGAAAATAACAAACAAAATTAAAACACATAAACAAAACAACATAAAAATAATAGAAATGGTACAGAATCTCAAAACAAGGTGATAGGAAAGCAACAATGATTGTTATGCTACATACCGTCATCTTCAAAGTAGTTACTCAGATAACCAGATATAGGCATGTAAGACTGATCAAACATTTACACATTAACTGTTCCTTTTAATAAGCCTATAGAAATTAGTAGTACCATCACCTTAGCTATCTTAGCTATACATATATTTTTTCCCTTCCTTCTTTCTTTTTTCTCTCTTTTCCCTCATCCAAGGTATTCTTTCCTATTTCAGTGGTTTCTTCCCCTTTCACAATATCTATTGTACTTTTCAGATTTTATTTACTCTTTCAGGTTCTTATACAAGGGAGGCAATATGATGTTTACACATGTGAGTCTGATTTATTTCACTTATGAGTATGGTCTCTAGTAGCATCTATTTACCTATAAAAGCCTCAAATTTATCTTCCTTTAAAGCTGAGTAATACTACATTGTATGAAAATACCACATCTTTTTTATCAGTTGCTCAGTTGATGGACATTTGGGTAGTTTCCAAGATTTAGTTATTACAAATTGTGCTGCTGTAGACATGGGTGCACATATATTGCTGTGATACGATGTTTTCAGTTCTTCTGGAAAAATACCCACGAGGGGAATAGCTGGGTTGAATGGGACCTCTAATCCTAGTTTACTGAGGAATCTCCAGACTGACTTCCACAGTGGTTGCACCAGTCTACACTCACACCAATAGTGGAGAAGTGTTCCTTTTTCCCCACAGCCCCTCTAACATTTGTTGTTAGTTGATTTCTTGATGACACCCATTCTTTCTGGAGTGAGAAGGAATCTCAGTGTTGTTATAATTTGCATTTCTTGAATGACTGATGTTGCTTAACATTTTTTCATATATTTATTTGCCATTAGTATTTCTTCATCTGACAAGTGTGCATTCATCTTAGATGCACATTATTGGATTGGGTCTTTGGATTTGGGGGGCCTAGTTTTTTTTGATTCTTCATATGCTCTAGATAGGAGTCTTTTGTCTGAGGGTAGTTGAGTAAAATTTTTTCCCAATTTTTGGGTTTCCTTTTTAACCTGTTGGTGATCACTTGTGGTGTGTAAAAATGTTTCAATAAGATGAGATCCCAGTTGTTGATCCTTTGAAGTATTTCCTGTGCAGGTTTTTGTTCATGAACTCTCTGCTTACTCCTATGTCTTCAAGATTTCTACATACTTTCTCTTCCAGTAGATTTAGTGTTTCTGTTTTAATATTTAGATCTTTGATCCATTTTGACTTGAGTTTGGTGCATGGTGATAGACACGGGTCTAGTTTTAGCCTTCAGCATGTAGAAAGCCAGTTTTTCCAGCACCATTTATTAAAGAGGCTATTTTTCTTGAGTGAACATGTTTAGCCCCTTTGTCAAAGGTAAGGTGGCTGGGTGTGTTTGTGGTTGTGTCTGCACCTTCTTTTTGGTTTTTGGTTTTTCTCTGGTACCAGGAACCGAACTCACGACCTTGCGCTTGCCAGGCAGGCACTTTTGCTGCTGAGCTAAATCCCCAGCCCCAATGTCTGCACCTTCTAATCTGTTCCACTGATGTTCGGGTCTGTTTTTCGCCAATAACATGCTGATTTTATCACAGTAGCTTTGTAGTATAATTTCAAGTCAGGGATTGTGATCCCTCCTGCCTTGCCTTTGTTGCCCAGGATTGCTTTTGCTATTCTAGGTCTCTTCTAGTTCCAGATGAATTTTAGGAAAGTTTTCTCTAGATCTGTGAGGTATACTAATGGTATTTTAATTGGGATTTCATTGAATCTGTATAACAACTGTGGCAGTATGGCCATTTTCACAAATGATTGTGAAAATCATTGATTCTTCCTATCCATGAGCAAAGAATATCTTTCCATTTTCTGTAATCCTCTTTGATCTTTTTTATAGCATACTGTAATTTTCACTGTATAGATCTTCTACTTCCTTTGTTAGATTAATTCCTAAGTTTTTCAACTTTTTGGATACTATTTTAAAGGACATGGTTGCACTAATTTCTCTCTCAGTGTATTTGTTATTTGTGTATAGGAATGCTATTCATTTTTGAGTGTTGACTTTGTATCCAGCTACAGTACTGAATTTGTTTATTAATTCCAGGAGTCTTTTGGTGGAGTTTCTGGGGTCTTGTGTGTAGACTATCATGTCATCTGTGAATAATGATAATTTCACTTCTTCCTTCCCTATTCTTACTGCTTTTATTTCTCTTTCTTGTCTAATTTCTCTGGCTAATACTTCCAGAACTATATTAAATAGGAATGGTGACAGTGGACATCCTTGTCTTGTTCCTGATTTTAAAGTGAAAGCCTTCAGTTTTTGTCCATTTAGTGTGATATTGGCTGTTGGTTTGTCATAGATGACTTTGATCAGATTGAGGTAAGCTACATCTATTCTGATTTTCTGTAAGGTTTGTATCATGAATAAGTGTTGGACTTTTTCAAAAGCTTTTTCTGCATCTCTTCTGATGATTATGTGATTCTTATGTTTGGCTCTGTTGATATGCTGTATTGCATTTACTGATTTGCATATATTGAACCATCCTTGAATTCGTGGGACAAATCTCACTTGGTCATGGTGTATTATCTTCTTGATGATTTGTTGCATTCTATTAATTAGCATTTTATTGAGAATTTTTGCATCTATGCTCATTACAGAGATTGGCCTATAGTTCTCTTTTTGGTTGAGTCTTTCTCTGGTTTTGGTATCATGGTAATACTTGCTTCCAGGAATAAGTTAGGGAGAATTACTTGTCTTCCAATTTCATTAAAGAGTTTGAGAAGAATTCACATTACATCTTCTCTAAATTTCTTGTAAAATTCAGCTGGAAATCCATCAGGATCTGGGCTTTTCTTTGTTGATAAGCTTTTTATTACTTTTTCAATTTCATTGTGTAATATTGGGTTATTCAGGATTTTTATATCTTCTTGATTCAGCTTTAGTAAGTCATACGTATCTAGCAATATGTCCATTTCTTCTGTGTTTTTCATCCTATGAGAGTAAAGATTTTCAAAGTAGGCAATGACGATATTCTGAATTTCTATAGGATCTGTAGTGATTTCATCCTTTCCATTCCTTATTACATGGACTTGAGCTTTTTTCCCCCCTTTTTCAATAAGGTTGTCCAGGGGTTTATCAATTTTATGTATTTTTTTCAAAGAATCTGCTCTTTGATTCATTAATTCCTTGTATTGTTTTCTTAGGTTCTTTTGCATTAATTTCTGCTTTGATCTTTATAATTTCTTCCCTTCTTTGGGCTTTGGGCTTGACTTGCTCTTCTTTTTCTAGAAATTTGAGGTATAGCATAAGATTGTTTATTTGTGCTTGTTCTGTTTACCTGATGTGAGAATTCACCACTATAAATTTCTCTCTGGGGACTGCTTTCCTTATGTCCCACAGGTTCCAGTAAATTGTATCTACATTTTTGTTTGATTGTGAACATTGTTTAATTTCTGCTTTAATTTCATGTGTGACCTATTGATTATTCAGGAGAGTGTTATTTAATTTCCATGTATTAATGGTGTTTTGTGACGCCTTTTACAATAATTTCCAATCTTTGCACTATGGTCTGACAGTATGCATGGAGAATTTCAATTCCTTTGCATTTACTTAAGCATGTTCTATGGGCTAGTATATAGTCTATTTTAGGGTATGTCCCATATGCAGCTGAGAAGAATGTGCATTCTGATATCATTGGGTGGGACACTCTGTAAAGGTCTACTAAGTCCATTTGTTCACAAGTTTGGTTTAGTTCTGTAATTTTTTTGCTGATTTTTTTTTTTGTCTAGTTGATCTATCTCTTTGTGAAAATGGGGTTTTAAAATCCCCTGTTACACTTGTGTTGTTATTTATTTGATTCTTCATGTCTGTTAAAATTTGCCTTATATAGTTGGGTGC